ATATGTGTGTGTGTGTGTGTGTAAAAATACATTTATATTAATCTCTAATTATTTTTCAGGAGTCCGAATCGGTAGAAGAACTCGTCCAGGCTGAGAAGAAAGAACCAAGAAAAGGTAAAATTCTAATGTCAAGGTTTTATTCAATTCTCAGGGCAATTTAGGCCGCGGCGTAAAGTTAGATTTGAATTCGTATTAGCTCTTCGATGATAATTTTAACAGTACCAAGAAAGTGTGTGTCAAAATACATCTAAAATGTATATTTTAGGTATACTTAAGTTTTCTTGGGTAACTTGTCATGCATATTTGATTCAAGTCCCACAAAATAAAGTTGAAAAGCCTCACATAAATTCACTCTGCGAATTATTAAATGATAATATATATTTTCCTGTAGACATTTATCCATAATCAGTTTCCTGTATGCATTCGGTGAAGTAATAGTAGTTTTCTTATTATACTATACTCCCTCATTATTTAATAATAATATTGATAATAACAATAATAATGTTACTTCAATATCATGCATATATTGTAAAATTACATTAAAGGGTCGCAGTAGAAACGTTAAAATTTGTTTCTAAAGAAAAACATATTAGAAAATGCCGCCCGTAAGAATCTCCAAGGTTATCCGCGTGTTTGAACTTTCGCAGTTAACCAACAAGCCAGCTATCCAGCCATCCCCATGTGAGATTAAAAGGCTGTTGTAATTTCCCTTACTGCACCAACGCGTTTCAAATACTCTCTTAAAGCGAACCACTGACGTCACTGACCTCTGAAGAGAGGCACCTCGGTGGATGCCATTGCCCGCACGACCCCCTAGGGAGCGCGTCTGGCTCAGCGCGCGAGATGAGCTTGGCGCGCGCGCGGCGCGCGGCTGAGCGGGGATGGGGCCGGGGCGTGCGCAGAGGACAAGGTGGGCGGCGCGGCGCCGGCGCTGGCGGCGCGCGCCGCGCTCGAGGCCCTCGTCGCCGACAAGCTGCCGCCCGATGCGGACGAGCGCGAGCGCGACGAGACCAAGTACATCGGCGAGGAGAAGACCGTCGTGGAAGAGGAGCGACGCTCCGTCGCGCAGCTCAAGCAGATTTTCGCACAGGTACGCACGTGCGAAAGCCGCGGGCGTTCTGCCACGCCGACGGCGGCGTGGCCGGGGGACCACCTGTCGCATGCGGAAGGTGGTGTGCCGCAGGGATGAAACCAATTACTTTCTTTATATATATATATATATATATATATATATATATATATATATATATATATATATATATATTCTGGTATGTCACGTAGCTTTCGTATCTTCGTCATTCTTGAACGGTTAGGGCCCATTCACAAACATAAACATAAGCATGGCGTTAACATAAATGTTAAATTTACGTCCGTAAGCGGGCTCATTCACAATGCGTTCGCATTAGCAAAACACGTAGGACGTTAACTTAAAAGTTTGGAAGCTTCATGCTTCTGCGCTTATGCTTACGTAAGACGTAAGAAATGAACCCATCACAGAACGGTAACTCAAAATCGAGAATCGAAATTTGAGTGAAGTCGATTGAACTAACGCCATATGGGACATAGACACGGTCGATATCTTGAAATCGATTCTCTTATCAAACCAGAAAGTCTCACAACCAATAGAAACTAATTTTTCTTACGTTTATGTTAGGCATTGTGAATACTTCAGCATCGCTTATGTTAATGTTTATGTCTACGCGCTATGCATACGTTTACGTTTGCATTGAGAATGGGCCTTTAAAGATTTTGCCTTCAAAGATTTTGCGCAGAACAATGAGGGATTGGAGTATATGCAAGTTTTCTTAATGAAACTATACTAGGTGCTTTTGGAGCAGGGGCGAAATGTTCTAGTTTGAAATCAATATCTTGCTCCTTTTCATATACGGTTTGTGGCATGTAACTTTCGTTCCTCTCATCATTAGTTTAATGATTTGGCAATAAAGTTTGTCGATATTTATGAGGGATTGAGGTAAGTGTTTTAAATGGAACTATGCTTATTAAATGCGAACAGTTCGAACATTTTAAAGAATCGTTTCATAGGTCATTCTTAAACCCAACCTCCACCGCTGCTGACAATCCGGCTATGGAGTAATGGTACCATTCTAAATATGAAATAGAACGTCCAAACAGGTTTCATTTTGAAGTTTACGACGTAAGAAACATACCTTGTGACCCTCAGAAACACGTCAACTTAGTTTTGAAGGGCTCAGAAGTCATCGTTTTCGATTTATGCTCATGGTAACGTGTGATTATGTGTATTGCGTAATGAAGATTGAGGAAATCTCATATAACAAAGTTACACATGTAACATATTTGTCATGGTATCCCTCATTGATATGCAACTCATTAAACACTGATGTTTGACAGAGAACGTGCATCGCTCTTTCCATGCAAACACAAAATTTCATGGCTTTCAAATCCAGAAAATTTTGTCGTGAAGGATGATCACAAACTCGATATTGTTATTGCCTGTTATTAGTCTGCTCCCTGAGAAATCGTGTACTTGCCAAACACCAGTGTAGGATGTGTTGCTCATCAATAAAGAGCGCCATCTCCAAAATAATACATGCGTAACTTTATTATATCATTTTTCTCACTGCATGTTTATTGGCAGAAAGGTATCTTCTACTCCCATTCATGCTCTAGAGGTTTGAAACATTTATTTTGAACTATCCTGCATTTTGAACACGATTTATTCTATTGTTAAAATTCAACAAACTGATTTCCCTTATTGATCGCATTTATTCAATACAAAGATTTCCTATTTTGTATAATTTCCCACATACATGGAAGGTTACTATTTTGTAAACCTTTTACTTGCTTATACATTATGTTGCCAATTGTAACATTTTGAATCTTTGGCTTTACTTACAAACTCAATTAAATTGCACCCGAACACAGGCATTTGCTCATTCGGGTACTGTATTTGTTAACATACGTAAAAACGATTGATAAATGTCGTTGATATATTAGAAAATCTATGTGAAAAACAAGAAAATTTTACAGGAGAAAGAAAAAACACTTTTTGATGTTAATAATGTACAGTGTGCTAAGTTTCGGCATTCTACACTTTCTATGTAATAGTATTAAATAATATAGTTGTAATATTTTTTTTCTGAAAGCACCGTACGAAAACCTCTCATGTGACTCTTATCACTTATGAGATATTCTAATTTCAATAAATTCTAAAGGTCACCTAGGAGGGTTTTATTTACTATTTTAAGACCACAAATCCTAGTTTATTTCGGAAATTTTCTTATCAAACTAAAGAATAAGTAAATTCCGAATCATTGATACTAAAATGTAAAATGTGGCAATTCCTTCACAAAGGAGGTTGTCCATCATCAACCACAATACGTTGCATCTGCTTGCACAACGCGTGCCGTGGCAATTGCAACAGTTGGCCTGGCCATGTGCGGTGACGTGTCTCCTCCACTGCCCGCAGGACAAACGGGACCGGCAGTACGAGCGGCAGCCGAGGCAGGTGGCGGCGGGACTCGCGTCGGACGAGGCCGACTCGCCGCGCCCGCCCTCCACCGCCGAGGACGCGTCCTCGCGCCTCTCGTCCTCCACGCTGGAGGACAGCACGGCGGACGAGGACACGGCGCGCCCGCGGCCCGCCCCCGCCCCCGCCGCCGGCGCCGCCGCCTTCGCCGCGGAGGCCGAACGACGCGACTCGGCGCTGTTCGAGGGCGTCAGCCAGGAGCTGGCGCGCCTCGACACCACCTACAAAGTCACACCCGCCCCGGAGAGTGAGTATGCCAGGCGAGACACACCGTGCGCCCGGCAACGAAACGTGCTTTTCGCAGCGCTGACCAACTTGTTGACGCTGGTAGTGATTATATTAACGGTAGCTTTGTCGTATATTTTGTATACAGCGGTTCGCAACCATTAGAAATGCTACCGTTGCACAACGGGGAGGGTGTCGATGAGTAAGACACATTCACATTCCATTCACCCACCGCGTCGGTTAGCTAAATATTAGTGAAATCGTTATAGAGTTTGGAGAATTTATATTTTTAGCACAAATAGTAGCAGGTGATGGGAAACTTGCTGACCACCTATAAAGTCACACCCGTCGGGGAGAGTGAGTATGCCAGGCAAGGCACACCGTGTGTCCAGCAACGAAACGAACTGTTCGCAGCGTTGACGAACTTGTTGATTCGTTATTTTAACGGTAGCTTTGTCGTATATTTTATACATAGCGGTTCGCAACTATTAGCCTTGCCTAGTGGTGAGGGGTAAATCGGAACGGTTTTAGATTCCATTCACTTATCTCGTCAAGGGATTAAATATAAGTGAAATCGTTAAAGTGATAAGATTTTTAGTCGGCTATAATAATCTAGTGGTAGGAAACTGTGGTTTTTTCTCTCAGCTTGATGATTTCCTTAACCACTGCTGACTGTAATTATAATGGAATTGAACTGTACATCGCTACTCCTTGCTAATGCCTACGTTATTATAGTTTTTCCCAAAGAAAACCAATCTCTATTGATATATCAAAAAGAACTCACGGTCTCCAAATGAATGATACAATACTGAAGGCATTATGAAGATAATTTGAAAATAACTACATTGTAGAAATTTAAGCCATTCTGAAGAATTGCTTAACCTAATATCAAATAGCAAATGGAAGTAACATTGGTGCCAAGGATTCTACAACGACTACTTGGTAATTAATAATAAATCCCACAACTTTAATAGGTACTTCAGAGTTTTGGCTCACAAAATGGCATCGTATTAGTGTAAACTATCGCAGAAAACAAATTAAATTTTGATAGAAAGAAAAAGATAAAGACGCATTTGAATATATTCGAGCTTCTTTAAAAAATGCATTCTTCACAAGTTGTTTTTGACGGAAAAACGATATCGGAAGATGTATTCACTCCAGAGCTGCAGTATGTGCTGTGTAGTGGCCATGAGGTCTTGTAATATTTTCGACATAAACTCACACGACGGGTGACGGAAATCATGCGGCAGAGTAATATGCCTACTGCGAGTTTACTGCCTGGCAGTGTTTTTTTTTATGCACTAAGGCTTCGCAAAATCTCTAGGCTTTTGCATTGTGTCCTACTAGCGTTGTTTGTCCTGAAGATAAACGATAAAAGCAAAAAAGCTAATCAGATGTATCATTATTGGTAACAAATTTTTCTCATCAAGGGCTTCCGAGTCAATTAATATTTTCTTCAAACGTGTTTCATTAGAATTTTGCGTCAGATAAGAGTGCTAGACCAGAACATTTATTCCTCTCCTTTTGAGGAGCAATATATTTTTCATAACATACACGAAATATTTATGAGAAGTATTGTATGTAATATTGTATGTAAGAAGTATGAAATGTAATAATGAGCAATGAATGGTTTTCGAATAAATTTCTACGTTATTTCTGCTTTCTTTACGATTAAAAGATGATCGTAAGATATGTTTATTGGTAAAAAAGTGAAGAATTGAAATGCTGATACATTTTCATGCAAAATACAATATAGTACAGGGTCCCTGCAATGTCGCATTTATGAGCTTCAACCCATGTTTAAGAATTTCCCCCTGTTTAATGGGGAAGGAATCATTAGCATCATGTAATTTGGAAATCAAGAGAGGACTGTTCTATAAATGTAATAAAACTATGTAAAACTTAAAATCATAGAAAAACACATTGCTTTCACAAGGATACTTGATTTAGATAATTCATAGTTCTGTAAAGGGTAAGAAATGTGAAGGAGCATGATTTCTCTCCGCATGCAACTGAAATTATTTTAAATAGAATTCTTTGTTACCTAAATGGGCATTTTTGCATGTTTGTAGTTCAATCCGTTTCCTGTTTTTATTTGGTGATCCGTACGGTGATTCTTATGACGATTTCATACTGTGAATCATTACATGATTGCATTCAGTGATGAAGAGTCGCTATAGTAGTAGAGTTACATTATCTATCACCGTATTTGTCATCTTAACAAAGGCAAAAATATAAGATGTATAAGCGGGGAGAAGAGGCACAACATTTACACATTTGTGGACTCCTTTCGTGAAACAATCGAAATAATTCTTATAGTTTGCGAACATCTCATTATTCATTTAACTTTTTCGTCAAAAAGATAATTATCAATTTTTCGATTATTAAATTAGGCACTCAATTTGTTTTTCCAACCATGCATTCCATTACTATTGGTGCTACCTCCGTATTACCATGGGCACACGAGTGTTTTGGAAATTGTTGATAAGTTTCTGTCAATTTTCCTGAGAATTTCCAAGACACGATTGGAATTTAACAGGACTATTTCATGGATGAAGTTTGAATTTAATATTACAGTTAATGCCAATTTACCATACACCCTTAAAGCTAATCTGATATTTTTACGAATTTTGAACAAGTTCAGAGAAAACATGAATCAATCTCTGGTCTTCATGGCCACCTGCAACAATCAAACAATCGAAAGCGCCATCTCTCGACATACTTGTTTAGTGAGGATGAGACGACTTTTTTTCGAGGGGGAGCTTTTAACGAAAAGCGATAAATGTTTTGAGAATGACTATTCTGATTGGCTTTCATCAGCTGAATTCTTGACCGCTGTAGATCTCTATTTCATGAATGGAATAGTCATTATACTCCACATTAGGTTGGAGCAAATGAGATCTCTCATACTTTTTAAAAATTATTTCAGATAAGTAGTATCTTTAATTCTTCTTCAAAACCGAAACATAAACTTTCCTGTCTTATCCTCTTTTTTAAAAACTGATATTATTATTATTATTATTATTATTATTATTATTATTATTGTAGCCCGTTACAATCCCGTACAGGGCGAGGGCCTCCGATTGTCGGGTGGGTTACATAATGGTAAAATTCCTGAGCACTCAATACGGGAACTTCCTTCTTCATACGCTATTTACATACAAAAATCAGGAAATGTAATCGCTATTTACACACACAATAAGTAACTTCACTTTGCCACTGCAATTTTAACACTGTTCACTTTGATTTCACTACTTAAATTTAATTAGATAACACTTCATCTTACTACTGTGAAAAACAGATATATGGTATTTTAATTAAGAACAGATATATAGTATTTTAATTACGAAATTATAATAATATTAATTACTGTAAATATGAATTAAAACATTGAATATGTCTTGAAACGAACAAATACAAATAATATATTCGGTTCAGGTCAGCAGACAATATTTTATGACAGATTCTACAACAGATGAGCATCTCTGAAAAAAAAACAACATAGATCCATGAAATATATTCTTCCGACATAGATGTGCGGTAGCGCCAGATGATAAGAACTTGGAAGTGTCTGTTTATAATGTATTAATTGTTAATATTATGGTGAATGGAGTTACAAGGTTATGGATAGTTTTCCCCATTGATTTACATCGTTCTGAAATTGTCACAAAGAATAATATTGAAAGAATTTATACAAATCACGTCGAACGAATGGGAGAATATTAAAATGAATGAGACCCATCTGATTCAGAAATTAAAAGTCTAGCAATGCACGCCGAAGGGAAAAAAGTTCCCAATTACTGAATACCAATGTGTATTCTCTGTTCACTTTCATCACAGATTCAAACCAATTCGCAATATCAATTTGATTCAAAGAATAATCCATGTAAATGGTGTTTCATTAAATAGAAGTATTGAGTGGCATTTGTCGTAAATTCTAGAAACAAATTGTTTTCATACAAACATTCGCCAGTTGGAGGTACTACAAAATAATATGAAACACCAAAGCTCACACTACTTTCGTGAAATTAATGGGAATAGTTTATACATGTTTTTTCAAAAACCACCCCCTCGAAATTTAGATTAGCACGAATGAGTGTCAAAATCATTGATTACATGACTGGACTAACTATAATATGAGTTGCTAAGACAATGTCCTCCAAGTCTCCGTGTCTTTTCTTTTCTTTCAAACCACATCTTTTCCATGTTCCTTTGCATTGTAGCATTGTTCTCACGGGTCCAATATGTTAGGAGGCCATGTTGGTGTTTGGTAGTTCTTTAGCGCTTCAGATACATTTTGTAATGATTATTTTCATTTTTCTCATATCTTGCCATTAGGTCATTTTTCACTCAATACATAATTTCATATTCATTCCGTGCTTCAAAAGTATAGGAATACAGATATTGTCACAATTAATTAAAATTATGAATAATCACACATGGCATAAATAAACGAGATAATCTATTTTCATGCAGTTAACCATCTCAATTATTTATAACTCATAACTTTTTGTGTAATTGTTATTTGGTTATTAACAATTGAACATTATTATCGAAAGTGTAAAACGCAATATCAATGATCAGCATCATTGCGTCTTCTAGAAAATAAAATTCAAGCAACCTATTTTTTGCCAATATGACACACAAGACGAATGGGATTCATTTAATAAGTAAAAATGTCAATTGGAGTAAGATTAGGTTGCAATGATTACAATCACTTGCTCCTAAAGTAATTATCACAAATCAGGAACACAAAAAGAATGTGGTAGCGAGATCACGTGCATCATGTTCGTCTAGTATCTGAAAATCAAGAGCACCAAAATTTTTAAGCAATACTTCAAATCCACTCGTACATTAATAGCTAGGGCATTATTATGAACTTCGCAATTAATACCTTTTCGTTTATTAAAATAGTACTATCATTATGTTTTATGATTTGTATTATGTCTGCAAACTCGCTTTTTCTTTATTCAAAACTAAATAATTTGCCTAAAATCCATGCCCATGGAAATCACTAAGGA